AGGGGAGAGCGAGGCTGTGCTTCGTACACACACAAACAAAGTCTGCATCAATAAGACCCGCCCACCCACGCACACATACAGGGTCACATCTGAGATAAAGATGTAAAAGTCCCAAATTGTGCGCAGTCTCTGCAAAGTCTAGTTCATCTTTATTAAAAGGAAACAAAAGCAAAATTAACTGTGCGTCTTTTAATCTCTTCAGAGCTCAAGTCGGGGTCAGAATCGTGCAAAACAGTCCCATGCAACCTGGCCTTATTCTGTATTGTCTCTGGAAATGACCTTCTGTGTCACAGCAATTACTGTAACCACAAGAGATGGTGTGTGTATGTGTGTGTGCAATGATATAAGAAGCTCTTTTGACACTCCTACTGTAGGTCATGTGGTCTGTGGAGACCCTGTGGAGGTCAATGGGATATGAGCTCCTAATGGTGAACGTGGGACTGAGAAAAAGCGAGAGCAGGATGAAGAAAAGGGTACTAAATGACAAAAATATTGTACAAACGATGCAAAACTAAAACAACAAACTGGGATTATGCAACAAAACCTCATATAAAGTGTGGTTTTTCAACTGAAAATGACACTTTAAATGTTAATTTCCCTGATATGTGTGACCCTTGAGCCTAAAAAGCTAACTCTAAAAGCTTGTTACATTTCAATCACTGATTTAACAACTGCATGAAAGTCATTGAGGAAATTGTCAGTATTATCGTCTTTGTTCCACGGAGGACTCCCTTAGGAATAGGTTTTCTAACGTGTTTCAGATTCAGATTTTTACGGTAAGTAATTGTGACACAGAAGTGGAACAGCATGTCCACTGAGATTACACTCAATGTCCTTGTTTGTGTTACTTTTTTTGCCATTTTTAACATAAATTAGTTTTGATTTATACATTTATATTAAGATAAACAATGTGAATGCTTGTATACGTGACGTTGAGTTGTGGTGCGTTTTTTCTAAGTCTACAAAAGGAAGCCTAGACAGCAAAAGAATACGGGGACACACACACACACACACACACACACACACACACACACACACACACACACACACACACACACACACTTGCTTCTCCACTGGACTGACCCTTTTAGAGAGCCAGACTCTCAGTGTGTCTGTCACACTTCCTCTCCTGCTCCTCCCTCCAACAAACTCCCACTGGAACACTGAATCCCCACAACTGAAGTGGAGCACCGTACATGTCCACACACATGTACACACTCACACTGACGTTACTGCAATAAAACCAGCCCGAGCGTTTCCATTGTGGATCCTAATCTACTGTCCTGCACTTAGCTTACTTTCTTCCTTTAACCACTACGCTTTCATTCCTTTGTCAAAGACTCAAAATAAATTAATAAATAAAACTTCTTGTGTTGTACAACAAAACAACAACATTAATCATCAATAGCTCAAAACATTCATATGAGTTTATATAGAAAAATGACAGTTTAAAAAGAATGGAAAAAATACAACTAAACAAAATGCAATAAATGACTACATTTGTTAAACTCTCATAAATTCCTGAACCAGAATAATTGTTGCTTTCCACAGTCAAATTTGTCCCATCCCTGCATCACTCTAAACATCTCATCTGAACCTCTCTTTTGCATCTTGTAGATGACCACAGTGTAGAAAGGCAGTTATCTACACAGACCACAGTTTGACTCACTAGTACTGCAAACAGGCAGTGTGGGAAAGTTACTTTTAAAAAGTAATTAGTTATAGTTACTAATTACTTTGTCAAAAAAGTAAATCAGTTACTAACCGAGCTACGAGATTATAAAAGTAACTAATTACCAAGAAAAATAACTACTTAGTTATTTTTTTTAATCAAAGAATGCAAGAAAAATGGGGTAAACTGAACTTATTTAATTTACTATAAATGACTACAATGGTGAAATATAAGTGACTAATGACTGGAACATAATAAAATGTACGTCAAAATGTTTTTTTATAAACCTGAATAATTTTGATAAATAAGCACTTAACAGGAGGAACTACTAATAGGAACATTACACTCATCTAGACTATTAAAAGGTCATTGTGTGATATTTAACAAGACCCCAATCAGCTCAAATTTAAAATTGCAAATAGAAACCCCTGTAAAGGTTCCCGAGCCTTTAAATGGTCTCTCAGTCTAGTTACATTACAGAAATGAATGTAATTTTGCACAGTATTTAAAATTTTCCAGCTTCACATAATTGTGTGTTTTTAGCAGCATTTCTGTTGCTGGTAATCTAGTAACGGTTAAATAAATAAATAAAATCCTTTAAAATGACACTAGAAGAGGCACAAGCCTGATGGAGGACTTACATTTACTAACTTGGGTCAGACCCAACCACAGAAGAGCTGCAGCTGGGTGGTAAACACACACAGGTAGTTCTAATAACACCTGAGCTCCATGTCGTCTGAGACTGATGCATCAGTGTTAGAGCGGGACTAAAGACATGATCAGAAACAGGTTACAGCTGGATGATCTAGGAAGGTAGAAGATCAGGACGTCTGAGCGGTGAACAGGTGAGCGGACCTTCGGGACGTCCCGCTGTCACGCTAAGAAGGGCACGGCTGCAGATCCACACCTGCAGCCGTAGACTATTCATCACGTCTTCCTCGTTCTTCACGGGCCGTGATGCTCTTGGATGAAATCATCTGCCTCTTTAGCTCCTGATCAGCTGATGACAGCTTCAACACACCGCGCTGCTTAACACACGCATTTTCTTATCAGTAACAGAAACAACGTTTGTATAAAAGAAGACGGTAATTAATTAGATTACTCATTACTGAAAAATTATTATTTTTTAGTAACGCTGTTATTTTAAACAGCGTTACTCCCATCACTGCTCTGTTGTGTCTACAGCAGGCAGTGACTGAGACGGTGAGGGCCTCCGCCCACCCAGCCAATCATCATCGTGTTTGTAAGTGCGTTACCGACACCTCTCTCTCCCTGGCTGCAGCTGCAGTGTGGCGGTCAGAAAGCCTCACACTGTTGCTCAACGTTCGACAAGTACATAGTAACGCACAACCTTCCGTCCCCAGTAACGGTAACAGCGTTGCAACAGTGGGAAAAGTAATTAATTAGATTATTCCGTTACCCAAAAAAGAACGCCGTTAGTAATGCCGTCATTTTAAACGGCGTTATTCCCATCACTGTAAACAGGTGACCTGAAATGAGCAGTCTAGTTCATAAACCCTGTTTTAAACAACAGTACAATGCTCTCTACTGATCGTTAAGCAACATTTGTTCCAATTTACCTCAAAAAGTAGACATGAAAGCTACTGGCTGGATTTATAAATATCATTGCATTATTTATAAACAGCATTTCAAACTGTGTTTTTGAATTCAGTTGAAAGCAGCGACTGTGAAGTTAGCTCTAAGTTGAGCTCTGACCTGCTAAAAATACTGACTTTCTTTTTAAAAGAATGTAAGAAAATAGCAGGGCCTAGGGCTGGATGATATATCGATATTTTTAAAATATCGATGTAATTTTTAAACAAGATACAAGAAGACTTTATTTCTGTATATAGATATAACTGGTCAATCTGCTATGCTAGCGATTAGCCGCTATGCTAGCAACATGTCGCCCGTCTCTAAGCGGTTATTACGTGTATTCTCACAAGTTTGTTCAATCTGAGAGCCTCTGGGTAAATGTGCTGCTCTAAACTTTGCATTTGACATCCTGGTTTTTAATTATTTGGGGACGTTCAACGCCAACAGAGTTCTGTTTATCTGTCCTGCGTGTGCATAGACGAGCAAAATCCCTCCCTCCCCTGTGTAATCGGGAAACATCTACGGATAGCCGGAGTGGCCAATTTACCTCAAACGTACTGTTAGGGTTTGAATAGTAAACTATAGGGTTAACATTTTATTTTGAAGGCGAGCTCAACGGGTGAGAAATGTTGTTACGTTTTTTTCCGCTCTGGTTAGCTATGCTAATAAATACTCCGTTACGAGCGATTCTGTTGAAATAGTTAAGAGTTTGTAAGGCGTGGGGTACGGCTACAGTAGTCTGAAAGTAATACTCATAAAAGAGCAACCAGAGACTCTGAGTCAGTATAATCACTGATATGAGCCAATACTGTTAGATTCCAGCCATGTTTGCCCTAATAACTAATAACTCCACCGTGCATGACCCATGTGATCTTCAGTAGATGCTATTACTTCATCATACATTTAGCTTAACATGATAGATGTTTTTTTCTCAGGACAAGAAATAAATGATATGGCCACCTCTAGATGGAATTTAAATAATTTTACATTAATTATAAATATATAATTAAAAAGTGCCTGTGGGACATTTGATACACCTCTAGCTCTCAACTGTGTGTGTGTGGGTGTGTGTTAGCAGACAGCTGTACCATTGTTTCTAAACCTCAGACTGGTAGAGAATAGGCACTAAGGTTAAGGTTTGACAAGAATCAATACAGTTTTTATGCATTTAATCTACTGATTCATGTATAATTTCTCAAGACAGCTTGAAGTGAGTTAACTTGTAAATATTTCACAAGGAAAATATCTAGATACAGGGCTTCCCCAGTGCTTTATAAGCACCCCCCCCCCCCCCCCCCCCGGGACAAACCCGCCAGGATACAAGTTTTGGTCCATGTCGCCCAGCCCCAGGATTTAGCATAGAAGTAATGTGCTTTTACTGGTGATCTATGAAACCTCTTTAGCCTTAAAGAGTAGATTTAGTGACAATGACAACATCAAAAAAATTCTGTGAGTATATGTTCTCTTCAAAGGCGCGTATTATATTTTTACAGAAAATAATTGTTTCATTATTTGAAGAGAGCCAGCTAGGAAAATGTTCTATTTGTATTACTTTACCTAGTATAACATTAAAGGTATAAATAGAGATTTCAATGATTTCTTTTAAAAATTCCACAGATTTATTTTTATTTTTCATCTGAAATGGGCACTAGCATTTGCAGCTATGGTTTTGTTACACAGACTTTTAACCTCACAACACAGTGAATAGGACCTAGGTCCAACCTTCATGTACCTTATTAAGCTGCTCCAGGTCATGAAAACCCTCCAGGACCTTCATGTATTTTCTCTCCCGGTACTTCCTGCGAATGAAGGTGGCTCTCTGCTCAGTTGTCGCTGCACTATGAAGCTCTTCCTCCATGGGAAGGTTAGCAGCCCAGAAATCGTTAGCACTTTTGTTCCCCACCTCTAGGAAGAGCTTAGCCACAAACAAGGGAAACAGTTAGCTAAAAGGGCTTGTAGATTAGTCACTTGAGCAGTCATCGCCACATTTTCATACATCTCACCAAAACTTAAAGGAGTTTCCAAAGGACTTAACAGATATCTAGATAAACTAAACATGAAAGTCCCATTTCAATGTGGCTTAAGGGAAAAGAAAAACAAAACAAAACAAAAAAACACATATCAGACAGTTTTGACTGAATACAATCAATGATGCAGTTTAAGAACAGCATTGGCATTTATTCTGGACCTATTCAAAACATTTGAGACTTTTAATCAAGTCAATGATAAAAAACTGGTCCTTGAGCGGTCCTGCAGCTATGAAACATGGGTGAAAATTGGTGTGTGTATATCAACAACAACAAATCTTAAAAATCCAGTCATGGAGTTCCACAGGGTTTTGTTTTAGGGTCGTTGTTGTTTTTTGTTTTGTATAAAAAAGGCTTTTCCATTTCATTTGTCCTACATTAAATATTAGTTGCTAATGATACAAACTTGCTTTTGTACAAGAGCAATGAACTGAACATATAAAAAATTAAGAAGCTAGTAAAAAAAAAAGTTGGTATAGATGCAACAAACTGCAAAATAAACTCATAAAACTGACACCAACGACATCTAAAAAGTAACACAGTAGAGTTGCACATAATTTCTGAAAATTCACAGTGATGCATCTAATAATTCTTAGTCTAAAATGCATTTTTGTTTAACAAGTTAAAACATTTTCTCTCACTCCCTCTACCCCTTACCCTGTATAAAACTTTATTAGACACATTACTTTCATACAATGTCAAATGATGACATCTTATAATGGTCTGAATTTAACTTTCCTATCAGCACCGTTCTCTATCGTTAGTCTTCTGAGGTTTAATTGACTAGATTTACCTTCAGGAAACCTGTATAATTTTGTCAAATTGTTCATAATCTCAACCATAAATTGTGTAATCTCACTTCAATCTTCCACCCTATGCAAACCCGTACTAGCAGAAACAGAAATCAGATTACTGGAAAGAACAAAGAATTCAAATGTGCAAAAGACCACAGATTTGGAACGAGCTTGATAAGCAGCTAAAACATGTCGCATTCCTGCCTCATACTAAAAAAAAAGGATGACATATTCAATGTTATTATAAAATCAGACTGGGTGAGTTGTGTGGAGGGGGCCCTTCAAACATCCTAATGTTTTCTGGAAACGTAGATTTTAGTGTTAAATCTAATTTTGGTAAATACCTCCACAAGTTCGTTGCTCCAGACACTGGTGTCCAACTTTAGGCTCCGCACCTTCGACAGACTGGGACCCAGAGAGCGGTGCTGTCCTAGCAAAGAACAACACACAGTCATCAGCGTATCTGCACAAGTTCATACAACTCTTGGGTTCATGAAATATTACTGAGTGAAATATGAATTCAAATATATTTGGCTGCCGGGCTGGTGCTTTAGAGTTCCAGAGAAGCTCACATATTACGAAGCGCATATATGCACAGTAATCTCCTCGGTGTGCACCGAGCAGCAATGGAATAAACAATAAACAGGCAGTTACAAGATGGCGAAACGGAGCGTGACCGCAAGCTCATTCTCTCACTCACAACAGACATATTTAGTCCTCTCAGCTCTCCTAATTGGAAATGAAAGCAGAGAACGAGGGCCATTAATTGCTAATGAATCATGAGTAATTCATTGTGTTTGTTGGTCGGTCTGTTTATTTGGGTGAACTAAAGGCTTGTGGGGTTGCTTATGGCCAAAGACGGAGCACACATACATAATACATTAGACAGAAAGGCACCGTATATGTGTGAATGTGAATTATTGTCCTGTGAGTAACGGAGGATAATTTTAGATTTAGATCTGGTGTGATCTCATTACTGTCCTGTTCAGAAGTGGAGCAGCTGTGAATGAAAATGAGGGACTGAGAGCTGTGACAGGCCATCTTGACACAGTTCAAGACAGTGTGCACTAAAAAGGGACTGAATTATTTCAGAAATCAAACACAAAAATCACGTTTGATAACTAGTTCTCGTATTTACAATTGTCTTTAAAAATACTGGTGTTAAATTATGTCTTCAGAAAAAAGAAAAAAATGTCTAACACAATTTAACCACTTTATATTTTCTTTTTTAATGATCCTATAGCTAAATCTCCAAATTAATGTCTGAAATTTTAGGCATAAAATGATAAGTTGCTAACTTCTATCTGAGGTAAATAAATGGTTGGAAGTAATAATTAAAGACTTGATTAGGGTAAGTGATGTAAAATTGTAGATTGTTGAAATACCTTCTTGCTCTACTGTCTGTTTCCATTTTTCCATTTTCTTTGGTAACTTGAAAACATCTTTCTTTTATACCAACACCGCCATCCTAAAAAGGTTAACACTGCGAGTTTTTTTGGACAAAGCATCAACTTCTAGAAACAAAAGTGGACCCTATGACAGGGGTTCCCAATTTCTTTTTTTGAGGAACCCCTTGTTCATGTCCTAGCTTGTCCAAGTGAAGCAAGAACACCCCCCCCCCCCCCCCCCCCCCCCGGCCCAACTCCTGCATGTGTGCACACATTAAATGTGATCATTAACCATCTTTATAGAGACACACAGAGTTATTTAGTATATATGGAGTTCTGATTATACTGTAGGGTGTGTTATTGGGAGTTTATAAATGTAATTTTTACAAATAAATTCTTGCTAACCTCACAATCTCGGCAAAGACAAAATTGTGGGGACCCCCTGTAATTTTGTGGGGACCCCCAATTTAGGAACCCCTGCCCTATGGAACACCAAGTCTCCCTGTTAGTTGATTCATATTACAAACCAGTAGTACCATAATACAAACCAGCTCAGTGGGCTAGTGGTAGAGGGTTCGCCCTGGGACTGGGAGATAGAGGTTCGATTCCGGTCGGGTCATACCAAAGACTTTAAGAATGGGACCCAATGCCTCCCTGCATGACACTCGGCTTTAAGGGGTTGGATTGGGGGTTAAACCACCAAATAGTCCATCGCTGCTGCTCACCGCTCCCCTCCATGGGGATGGGCCAAATGTGGAAATTAATTTCACCAGTGTGTGATGATGACTATGGGACTTTAACTTTATAATTCAATTAAAATGCATGCTTTAGTATACAGTGGTGTAGTGAGTTCAACTTGGATCTGCAGAGATTAGAAAATATTCACGTTTGTTAGTGGCTGACAAATGTATCAATATCAAAATCACCTCCGTAGTTACGGTCGAAGGCAATGCCTCCCATTCGTGAACGTGCATCTCTCGCCAGCAAACAGAGCTAAAAACACATTGTTTTAGAATTATTGTTCCTATACTTTGTTGTTTATTCATTTATGTATATTTAAAGACTTAATTGTTCATGAGAAAAATCGCCAACTCTGCATCTGCATGGGACAGCGGTAGCACAGGAGTTAAGTGCTCGCCTCATTGGTTGCAGGCTCTAGTCCCGCTCAGTCGGTCACTGTTGTTGTGTCCATGGGCAAGACACTTAACCCACCTTCCCTGCTGGTGGTGGTCGGAGGGACCGGTGGCGCCAGTGCTCAGCAGACTTGCCTCTGTCAGTGCGCCCCAGGACAGCTGTTGCTACATCGTAGCTCATCCCCACCGGTGTGTGATTGGGTGAATGACTGATTGTGTTGTAAAGCACCTTGGGGGTTCCAGGACTCTAGAAGGTGCAAAATGAAATACATGCCATTTACCATCTGCCTAGGTACATCTTCAAACGCTGGTGCACGCTCTGTGATTGACAGTTGTACTAAGCAGATGTCTAGTGCTATTGGTTAATGCTTAATAACAGCAGTCAGTTTAAATTACATGACAAGGGGTGGGCTTAGCAAAAATATATATATTTCTTGCATTATATCACAGTGCAGGATGGATTTCTACAAAAATCATACATAATCCCAGAAAAGCGGAAAACTCCGTATTGCAGCTTTAAGAAGGGCATAGTTGAGCTGTTTGATAAAACTCAATGTATCAACTTCATTCTAATGTGTTTAGCAAGTCTAAAATCTGCTTTGTTGGGAGGAAAACAACAACTGAAAGATCATAACAAGTTCCATTGGGAAATGATGACTAAATGACAGATGTTGTCACTGTAACCTTTGAAGGAGTTGAAGACCTTCTGCAGTGGCTCCCTGCTGCAATGCAACGGACCATCCACTGGGCCGTTCATCACCATAGGACCATTTTCACTTATGTAAAGGTAATGAAGCTGAAAAACGTGCGCACCAGCCTCAGGGTACACACTAAGATCTGCACATATAAATGGCTTGCTGGAAATGTCTTCATCCTTTCAACACAACACAAAAAGGCCACCATAACAGCTTTTACAGGAAAAAATATATGATAAAACGAGTCAACCCACTGAGAATCTCACCTCCAATTAAAAAGTTTCCCAGTGACTCCTGCAACAGTTCACAGAGCACTTTTCCAGCCGTCTGTACCAATGTCTTATTTTTCTTCCTCACTCGCTGATGACTCAGGGCAGGACAATGAGCGCTGCATTTTTGTGTTACCCTGGCAACTGTTGCCCAAAGACACAAGCTGCCTCCCGCTTCTAGAAGTTTATTGTAATTACATGTGTGGGTAGAAACCATAAGTTCTTTCAAGTAAAGCCATCTCCTCTCAAGCAGCTATGTTGGACGGAGGAAAAAGGAAAATGTGTGTTTATGGACGGTAATATTTAGCCACTAGGGGGAAAGAAATAATGAAAACAACACTAGTTACCTCTAAACGCGTCTAGACTGATCCTGTGTGTTGGATGACGAAGCAGTTCTCTACTAAATGCCTGTCGGTAAATAATCATTTTGCTATTTTATTTCCATTTAATGTGAATTATTTTACTTTTTAAGACTACCACCAATTCATAGCCAACAGACACAAACTAAACGCTAATATGCATTTTCAGAAGCTGACACAAACCAAACAAGCAAGTAATTTCTCTTATTAATGCACTTTGTTGAGTGTGTTGGATAGATTCTTTAGATGTTTTAATAAAATGTTTTATGTATTTTTTCCCCAGTTTATGCCTCAAGGCCTGGAATGCACTTGCTGTTTAACCTCGTGCTGGCTGAGGCAGCAGTTCACATACTTGCTGCTACACAGCGCTGCAATGCAGGTAGTACTGGACTGATCCACAAGGCGGCGCACAAGAGAGCTCTGACCGGATAGGGAGCCGGGTTTGTGGGTACAACCAAAACAAACACGGCGTCAATAAAAGAGATCCCTAACTAGTTAATTTTGAGATCACGACAGAAAAAAAAAATACACAGCAGCGGTATCGTAGATGGTGTGAAAGACCTCTAAACCATGGCGAGTGTGTCTCCCTCGTTTTCTCAACTCCATCTACTGGTTACTCGTATATTGCAGCGTTCTGACATGTAGCAGTTTGTTGCGTTAATTTCGGAGGACGTACACAAACAACGCTTCAGATCAACGTAAGACAGACGTGGCAGCCATTTTAAACACGCGTCTGCATCGTTAAAAAGCAAGTATATCACAGCCCTAAAATGTCATTTTACTAATTACTTCTGGAATACTTAAAGGTTGAAAATGGAACAATTAAGTTGTTTGTTTGAAAATAATACCTCCACAGGGTAGAGTAAAAATAGAAATTTAAAAATACCCCAAAGTAACCAAGAACCAACAGGCAACATGCCAAATGTCTTGACCATTTGCATTTTCGAGCATTTTATGCCAGACTTTATCAAAAGACAAACAAACGTGATTCATATGTGTTGGATACAGCTGAGTAGGTGACTTTCTGTGGCATTTTGCTGTCTTGTATTGCGTTAATTTATGTTGGGCAGAAGAAAAGCAGCTGCAGGAAAAATGAGATTTTCATTATTCTACCAAACACTATCAGCTTGGAACATCTTTGTTATGTTTTTTCTGTGTTGATTTTCTGATTCCATTTGTTATCGGTTCTTTTCTATACAGAGAAGTAGAACTCGTTTTTAACTGGCCTGTGGCACCACCAACAATGGCAACGCTTCGACGAAGGCGACAAGAGTAGCTGAGACTGTCAGTAAAAAGGTAAAAACGAGCTCTGCTTCTCTGTTTGTAGAAAAGAACCAAAAAAAAAAAACTCAGCTTGGATTAAAATAATAATAATAATAATAATAATAATAATAATAATAATAATAATAAGGTATTCTGGGTTTTAAATTGATGCTAAAGAAAATAAACTATCAATATTTTTTGTTAAAATATAACTTTTAAAGGAAATACTGTCTGTACCTTCATTCTGCACACCTCTAAACGCCTCTATAAAAATATAGCTTTTTATCAAACTGTTCCATATTCAACATTTAATATTAAAGTTA